CTTGAAAAAGTCAGCAGTGGCAGCAGGTCTGGAAAAGGTCAGTTTTCATTCCAATCCCAAAGAAAGGCAATGACAAACAATTTTCAAACTACCAACAATTGCACACATCTCGCACGCCAAGCAAAGTAATGCTCAAAATTCTCCAAGCAAGGTTTCAACAGTATGTGAACCGAGAACTTTCAGATGTTCAAGTTGGATTTAAAAAAGGCAGAGGAACCAGAGATCAGATTACCAACATCTGCTAGATAATATAAAAAGTAAGAGAATTCCAGAAAAGCATCCATTTCAGCTTCATTGACTCTGCTAAAGCCTTTAGCTGTGTGGATCATAAGAAACTGTGGAAAATTCTTCAAGAGATGGGACTACTAGACCACCATATCTGCCTCTTGAGAAGTCTGTGTGCAGGTCAAGAATCAACAGAAGAGATGTGGAACAACAGACTGGTTCCAAATTGGGAAAGGAGTGCATCAAGGCTGTATACTGTCACCTTGCATATATAATTTATCTGCAGGGTACATCATGTGAAATTCTGGACTGGATGAATCACAAGCTGGAATTAAGATTGCTGGGAGAAATAGTAAAACCTCAGATACCCAGATGACACCACCCTTATGGCGGAAAGCAAAGAGGAACTAAAGAGCCTCTTGATGAAGGTGAAAGAGGAGAGTAAAAAAGTTGGCTTAAAACTCAACATTCAGAAAGCTAAGATCATAGTATCCAGTCCCATCACTTCATGGCAAATAGATGGGGAAACCATGGAAACAGGGAGAGACTTTATTTTCTTGGGCTCCAAAATCACTGCAGATGGTGACTGCAGCCATGAAATTAAAAGATGCTTGCTCCTTGGAAGAAAAGCTATGACCAACCTAGACAGCATATTAAAAAGCAGAAACATTACTTTACCGATAAGGGTCCATATAGTTAAAGCTATGGTTTTTCCAGTCATCTTGTATGGATGTGAGAGTTGGACCATAAAGAAAGCTGAGCACCTAAAAATTGATGCTTTTGAATTGTAATGTTGGAGAAGACTCTTGAGAGTCCCTTGAATAGCAAGGAGATCAAACCAGTCAATCCTAAAGGAAATTAACCCTGAATATTGATTGGAAGGACTTATGCTAAAGTGAAGCTGAAGCTCTAATACTTTGCCACCTCATGTAAAGAACTAACTAATTGAAAAAGACCCTGATTCTGGGAAAGACTGAACTCAGGAAGAGAAGGGGACGACAGAGGATGAGATGGCTGAATGGCATCACCGTTCTGATGGACATGAGTTTTGAAACAAGCTCCGGGACTTGGTGAAGGACAGGGAAGCCTGGTGTGCTGCCGTCCTTGGGTTCACAGAGTTGGACATGACTGAGCAACTGAGCTATAGTGTTTACAGGATTGGACACAAAATTTTTATGATGTCGGTTTCTTCGAATTTATCTGTAGATGGAATGCCACCGTCAACCACCAAACAAGCTTCTCAAAAATTATATTAAATTCAAAATCCCTAGAATAGCCAATACAATTTAATAAGAAACAAACTTGGAGAAATTATAATACATTAACTGACCTTCAGGTTTAATGCAAAGCTACTGTAGTAAAAACAGCACTGTGTTAGTTAAAAAGAACAGACAAAAAAGGGATCAACTGAACCAATAGAAACCAGAAATAAACCAAGCCATCTGCTGACCACAGGGATCAGGACGCAAGTGAGTGTCCAAGGCTGGCTTCCCCAAGGATGACTATGAATCCGAGATTCCTGATGCTGCTCTGAGATGGGCTGTGTCCTCGGGACTATGTGGGTCCAGGGGTGAGGGGAGCTTCTGGGAGGAAAGCTTGGGCAGCTAACCTGCACATCTTACACACCAGCTCTGCCACGCTCCTCCTGCCTCATCTGTTTGTGGCTGCCCTTCATTCCCCCTTCCTGCTGCTTCATCTTCTAAAGATCATGTTTTTCCTGACTGGTCCCAACCTGAGGGTCTCCAGGGAACAGTGAACGGTCAGACCCAGACCAGAACCTGGGAATCAGGACCTGCTTGGCAACAAGCTCTCCAGGGGGTCCCTGTGAGTTAAGGTGTGGGAAGCACTGCAGCGAACTCTTGCTCCTCCATCACTACCTAGCTCAGGGCCAGCCCCTCCAGAGAGTCCCCCCTGAATCCTCCCTCCATTTTGCTGCCCAGACAGGTGAAGAGCCAGGCAGTTCCAGCAGTGAGGGTACAGGCCCACTCGAGGGCACTTGGGTGCCTCCCCGGCCGTGCAAGTGCAGGAGGAAGCCTGGTCCACCCTGGTCCCTGAGGAGCACCACATGGGCTGCACTCAGCAGGCAGGGGAACCCCCTCAAGAGGCCTCACCTGCTTCCAGCCCCTGCTCCTACCCTGGGAGGCCCTGTGTGGGAGGTCCTGGGCGCTGAGATCTGATGGCAGGATGCGGGTCGGCAGGAACCCCATGAGTCCAGAGGGACAGATCCACTCACTGTCCTCTGTCCCCAAGAAGAGCTCTCATGGGCCTCCCCTCCTTCTCCAGGGCTTCCCAAGGCCTGCCCAGACATGGTACCCAGGTCCCGATGACAACAGTGCCCTTAGAAAGCTCTGGGTCATCCCATTCCCCTCTGACACCACAAGCCCCCCAGCCTCCTCCTCCATCCCATGATGACCACCCGAGGGCCACCCAACACTCCCTGCAGACCCATGAGTGCTCTCCCCACCTCCTGCCCCTACACTACAGTCTTCCCACCCCTATACGGGTCTGCAGGGGACAGCCATCACCCCCACTTCCCTCAACTCCCTCCCCAGGGCTGCCCCTCCGTGGTGGGGTCTCAGCATGAGAGGACCTGCTTGGGAGCAAGAAGCCCTGCCCTGCCCCTAACCCAGATCACCTTTGCCACATTTCCTGCCCCTGACACCGAATCTCAGGCATTCCCACTCCTGCACCCTGCCTGGGACACTGTGCCCTGACTTCCACGCTGACTCGCCTGCCTCAGACAGACAAGCAGCACCAATGTCCATCCTGGTGGGAGCTTGTCAGCCCACCAGGCAACTGGTGGATGAGTCTGGGGAGCAGATGGGACCGTCTCTCAACTGATTTCTTTCCTCCCGAGAGCTAGACCCTTGGGTCCCCTAGACCATGCACCTGGGTGTTGTGTTCATCCCCGGATCCAACACCTAGGACAGTGCTGGGGACCCCAGAGGAGCCCGCATATGTTAATGGAACAGATGGATGGAAATAAAGGGGAACATCCACACCCCAAACACACACTCTGATCCAGGGCACTACGGTGTAACGCTCACTCCCCACACCTCCAAGCATCCACTTTGGCCTGTCCTGTCCCAAGGCTCCACTTTGCCAGCACCAGCCAGGTCTAGGGCACCATCCACTGCTCCTGCATCAGTGTGGGGAGAGCACCCAGGTGGGGTCTCTTTCCATGATCCTGACAAGCCCCTCCCCATATCAAACCCCACCTCTTCCCCTCCTCCCTCCAAGCCCAGGGCAGGGACAGCTTCCCTGCTGACCCCTGGAGGCCTGTCCTTGGTCCTTGCCTTCTTCCTGCCACTGCTCAGGACACAGCCTCAGCTCAGTGTCTCATGTACTCCCCATGGGCAGTTGTCCCGCTGGAACCTGCTCACGATCTCAGGGAATCCATCCCTCTGCATATCCGAGATGGGCCTGATTTCCAGAAATGACACATGCACCATTGTTTCCTCCCAGACACATATTTATTTAAAACACTTTTAAAAAGTCTTCTTTTACATTTTTCAGGTACACGACACAGCTAACAGGGTCTAATACCTGTCTTGTGAAGTGTGTATGTGTCCGTGAGGATGGCATCAAAAGAAAACTTGTGAATTTGAGTGCACATGTTCAGAAAAGTTAAAGGAAAATATGATCTCAAACAAAGCAACGAAGATTAAAAAGAAATTAATTAGGTAGGAAACAGTGGCTGCAAAATATTAGCTTTTTCTAATCTATGAATTAAGAGTAAATTATGAGTAAAGACTAAACTAACACAAATACTAAGTAGTTTGCCTAGCTTTTTCTGATCTATGAAGTAGGAGTAAATTATGAGTTAAGTATAAACTAATACAAATCATAAGTAGTTTGCCTAACTTTCTCTAATCTATGAATTAGGAGTAAATTATGAGTTAAGACTAAACTAATACAAATACTAAGTAGTTTGCCTAGCTTTTTCTAATCTATGAATTAAGAGTAAATTATGAGTGTAGACTAAACTAATACAAATACTAAGTAGTTTGCATAGCTTTTTCTAATTTATGAATTAGGAATAAATTATGAGTTGTATAAACTAATACAAATCGTAAGTAGTTTGCCTAGCTTTCTCTAATCTATGAATTAGGAGTAAATTATGAGTGAAGACGAAACTAACACAAATCCTAAGTAGTTTGCACAGCTTTTTCTAATACATGAAGTTGGAGTAAATTATGAGTTAAGTATAAACTAATACAAATCATAAGTAGTTTGCCTAGCTTTCTATAATCTATGAATTAGGAGTAAATTATGAGTGAAGACGAAACTAACACAAATACTAAGTAGTTTGCCAGGAGTTTGTTTTTTCCTTAAGGTGTTCTTGTTTTGTTTGCTCTCCTTCTGTTTTAAAAACCAGTGAAAACTTATTCCGGTCAGTTTTAGTCCTGGCCCCAGTCACAGAAGCATTCTCATCATCTGAAACACTTCTTTCAAGGCCCAGAGGAGGCTCATGATCACAGTGGGCATCTCATTTAAATGAAACCACAAGACTTATAGAATATACTTCTAAAGGCTCCCTGGGGGAATTTCGTCATCATAAGTCATGATGGGATCTGGAGTCACTGGGGCATGTTTAGTCCTGGGAGCTGCACGTGGAGAGGAAGGACGATTCCTTCACAGACACACGTGGGTCTTGGGTGTAGTGCTGGCAGTTAGGCTGAATGCTGGAGCCCAATCAAGACCTGCCTGTCTCCTGGGACCCCCGAGGCTCCCCCTCCTAGGGGGTCCAATCAGCCAGGGAGCCTCTGGGGCACTGGCTGGTGCTCCGGGTCCCCAGGGGCAGGGCTGGGAGGGGGCCAGGTCAGCAGCCAGCTCCTGCCTGAGGTGCGCGTTGTCGCTCCTGAGCTCCTGGAACTTCCTCCAGGTCTGCTCGGCAGCCATCCAGCTCTCCCACACCATCCTCTCTCGGAAGAGGGTCTCCTTGCGATGGAGGGTGACGCTCACCTCCAGCTCATGGCCCAGGCGCTTGGCCATCTCACGGTAGATGCCACGGGCCTCCTCCTGGGCAGCCAGGTCCTCCAGCGTGGCGGGCAACCTCCTCTCCAGCTCCAGGCAGCGGGTCTCCGCCTCCAGCTCCCTCTCCTGCAGCTCCGCCAAGAGCCGAGCATGCTGTCCCGGCAGCACCTGCAGCTTGTGCTTCAGCAGCTGCACGTCGTGCTCCAGCTGGAAGGCCGCTGCTCTCAGGGCCGCCTTCTCCCGCTGCAGACGCACCGTCTCCCTCAGGAGCCTCGCGAAGCGCCGCTTTTCTTCCAGCTCCTGTCTGGCTTTTCCCTGGGGTTGGGGCTCTGGCCCCGGGAGGGACACACACAAGTCCCCGCCAGCGCCCACCTTCTTCAGGACACCTTCTGGCTGCTGGCCCGGGGCACAGCCAGCCGGTTCGACGTCCCCGTCACCCCCACAGCCCCCAAGGAGATCGGGGACCGGGAAGACCCGCAGCAGTTGCCTAGCCAGGGCCTCTGCCTGGCAGACCTTGGCTTCCAGCTCCTGCTGCCTCCGTGCGCTCACCTCCCGCAGCCTCTCTTTCTCCTCCTCCTCCTGGACCCTCTGCTTCCATCTCGCAAGTTCCTGGGCCAGCAGCCCTGGACGCTCGGCAACAAGAGCGTTTTCATTCAAATCGCTCACAGCTTTCGGGCGAGGCTGCTCCCCACTCTTCTGGAATGCTCTGAGGCCGGGTCTGTCATCGGTCACTCGGGGGCTTTGAGGTTCCCGGCTCTTCTGCGCCTTTTCCACAAAGTCCACGGTGTCCTGATGAGAGGAGGCGCTCGGCTGTGCGTTCAGTGCCGACAGGCACGGGGTGCGGGGCACGGGGGCGTCCGGTTCCCCGTCGGGCGGTCCGGGGGCTCCGTCGGCCGGTGCCGTGGGGGGGCCGCTTGTCTGGCTCCTTCGTCCACAGACCTCCTCGCGGGCAGGACACCTCCCGCCGGGCACCTTCCCTCTGCGCACACTATGCCGTCTCCTCAGGACCCAGAGCAGCCACACGACGCAAACCAGGGCCCCCCAGGACAACAGAGGGAGGCCTGGGACGCGGGTCAAGCGCTCAGAAGCCAGCAGCAGAGCGCCCCCTAGCTGCTCCAGGGTTAGCTGGCTGTGGACTCCAGGCGCAGGCAGCACACCCTCCATGGCAGGGAGGGCTCGCCAGCTCTGCCTCCGAAGGCCAATGTCCTATGGGCCACGACCAACCGCTCAGAACCTTGCGGAGTGTTCCGTCTCCAAGGGAAACAGGTGCCTGACGACCAGGGCTGGTCACTGAGGTGGGGGAGGGGAGGCATGCCAGGGTCTAGGAGACAGCTCTCAGGAGAGGCTCTGAATTAGAAAGGGGTCGCTCGTGTCCAGGCTCGGGGAGGTGGCCGTGGGGGAAGGCAGTGTGTCCCACCCAGGCTCACAGCAGACCTTGGGGTCAGGTACAGGCCCTGGGGAGGTGCCCAGAGGGCAGCCTTGGGGCAGAGCCACCTGCAAAGGAGCCGTCCAGGTGTGTTCGAGTGAGCATTGCACTGCAGTGTCCTGGATCAGAGTGTGTGTTTGGGCTGGGGGTGTTCTCCGTTATTTCCATCCGTTTGTTCAGTTAACGTCTCGGGGCTCCTCTGGTGGCCCCAGGACTGTCCTGGGTGTTGGATCCAGGGTTGAAGAAGTCACCCAGGTGCATGGTCCAGGGGACCCAGAGGTCCAAGTCTAGAGAGCAGAAGATCAGGTAACAGGAACCAGGGGAGAGATGGTCCCTTCTGGTCTGTAGACTCGTCCACCAGATGCCGGGAGGGGTGGCAGGCTCCCGCCAGGACAGACACTGGTGCTGCTGTCTGAGGCAGCAGGAGTCTGCCTGAAAGTCAGGGGCACAGTGTTCCAGGCAGGACGCAGGAGTGGGAATACCTGTGATCCGAAATTTAGTCGTAAAGTATATGAAGAGTTACTGCTCAAAATTATCCAAGCTAGGCTTCAACAGTATGTAAATCGAGAACTCCCATTGCTCAAGCTGGACTTAGAAAAGGCAGAGGAACCAGAGATCACATTGCCAATATCTTCTGGATCATAGAAAAAGCAAGAGAATTCCAGAAAAACATCTACTTCTGCTTCATTGATGATGTTAAGGCTTTCACTGTTTGGATCACACCAAACTGTGGAAAATCTTAAGGAGATGGGAATACCAGACCACCTTGCCTCCTGCGAAACCTGTATGAAGTTCAGGATCAACGGTTAGAACCGGACATTGAACAACGGACACTTTCAAAGTCGGGAAAGGAGTACGTCAAGGCTATATGTTGTCACCCTGCTTATTTAACTTACATGCAGAGTACATCACGTGAAATGCTGAACTGGATGAAGCACAAGCTAGATTCAAGATCGCAGGGAGAAATATCAATAATTTCAGATATGCAGATGACACCACCCTTGTGATAGACAAGTGAAGAGGAACTCTAGACACTCTTGATGAAGGTGAAAGAGGAGGGTGAAAAAGCTGGCTGAAAATTCAACATTCAGATAACTAAGATCATGGCATCTGGTCCCATGACTTCATGCAAATAGACGAGGAGTCAGTAACAGACTTCATTTTCTTGGGCTCCAAAATCACTGCAGATGGTGACTGCAGTCATGAAATTAAAGGTGTTTGCTCCTTGGAAGAAAAGCTATGACAAACCTAGACAGTGTATTAAAAAACAGAGACATTACTTTGCCACCAAAGTCCATATAGTCAAAGCTATGGTTTTTCCCGTAGTCATGTATAGATGTGAGAGTTGGATCATGAAGAAAGATAAGTGCCAAGGAATTGATGCTTTTGAACTGTGATGTTGGAGAAGACTCTTGAGAGTCCCTTGGACTGCAAGGAGATCAAACCAGTGAATATTAAAGGATATCAACCCTGAATATTCTTTGGAAGGAATGAGGCTGAAGGTAAAACTCCAATACTTCGGCCACCTGATGCCAAGAGCCCACTCTTTAGAAAAGTCCCTGAAGCTGGGAAAGAATGAAGGCAGGAGGTGAAGGAGTTGACAGGATGAGATGGTTGAATGGTATAACCAAGTCAGTGGAGATTAGTTTGGGGAATCTCCAGGAGATGGTGGAGGACAGGAAAGCCTTTTGTGCTGCAGTCCATGGGGTCACAAGAGTCAGACACAACTGAGCCGCTAAACAATAACAACAGGGTGTCAGAAATCTCTCAGAGATTGTCAGCAAAACTGAAATTGTGAGGGCCTCTCTTTGAGACCCTCTTGCCCCACCCATCCTGTCCACACTGGGAGTCCCGCAGGGCTTTTTGCTTGGGTAGTGACTGCCCCACTCCCAAGCCCTGGTGTGGGCCTCTAGCCAAGACGGATACCCCTGAGACCCCGTCATGAGGCTGACTGGGCCCATAGGGCATAAGACAGTCCCCTGAATGTCATGGGCACAGGACCCTCCCAGGTTTGGGTCTGCAGGGCTGAGTGTCCAACTGTATGTCCTGAGCCCACTTCCTACAGCCTCCTTTGGGGAGAAAGAACCAAGAGGTTGAGAGAGTGTGGGTGGGAAGGGCTTTTTGGAGCTGGAATAATTTTAAGCAAAGTCAGATGACACTGATCTTCAAAGCAGTGTTTGTCTTTCTCCTTCTGCCCAGAGCTAATCAGCTCATCATGATGCCTTGGGGCCCTGGGATGGGGGATCCACCGCATCCAGAGTGTATCTTTTATTTAAAAAAAATCCCATGTCTCACGAGTGCCTGGTTTATTCTAGACCTTCTGTCAGGAACAACTAACCCTGGGTCATGTAAGGGACAAAGTAGAGACAGTTTCTTTTCCAGATTATTTCAAACTGCTTGATCTTTAACCTTTAAGGGTGGAAATGCTGACCATAGTTTAAAATGTTGTCACCTGCCCAGCAGCAGAGCAACCAGAGCCTGGTCACTCGCCCTTCATCCACTGGGGGATTGGAGCCCAGGCAGCTGGAGACGGGCTGCCGTTCCTTCTGTGCCCCAACCCGTGTGCTGCCTGAATCCAGAAGAAGGCACCCTTTTTAGGGTTACCTGTGTTGAAACTGAAGCATCGTGGGGACAAAGCCAATCCCTGGATTCCTAGTGACCAGCAGGGTGGGTGACTTAGCCCCTGACATTAAAAGGACACTGAAATTCAAAATTCATTACTGTCACTCAGTTTGCTGTGCTTGCCTACTTTCCCACCCCTGGCGACAAAACTAAGGGGGAAAAATAGGTGTGTTTGGAGGGTTTGTAGTCAGGGTCACAGCTGGAGAGAATGTCATGCTCACTCTGGCAACAATACCAGATCCAAGCACACTGGAGTCTGTGAGCCCTTCCTGAACATCAACAGTCCTAGAGCAAACAGTGAGACCTCGGGGGACAGTCCCATGCAGAGGGCCGCCAGATACAGATGATGCAGCGGGGATAAATTGACACAGAAACGACAGGAAGGTGGGCCCGCGCCCACGGTGCATTCCTTGGGAGTCCCGAGGTTCCTCGAAGAAGAGGGGATACAGGGTGAGATTGGGTCCTTGTCCTTCATAACCTGTGGGGAGACGATGCAACAGACACAGCCCCTCTCAGGTGCTGGTTTTAAGACTATGTCATCTGTCATCTGTCTTTCATTAGTGCTTAATTTGTTTCTCTGTTTCTAACTTTGACCTATTTTTTTAATGCCCTTGTTTTTAAGGTTGATCTCTCATGGAGAAGAAAATGGCAACCCACTCCAGTATTCTTGTCTGTACAATCCCACAGACAGAGGAGCCTGGCAGGCCACAGTCTATGGGGTCACAAAGAGTCGACAAAACTGAGAGACTGAACACTCCTATAAGTGGGAGAACCATACTTCTTGATTTGCCCTGGAGAGTGATGATTTATGCCATCCTTGGTTCTAAACCAGAACCAGGTTTAGAACCCCCTCTTATGGTCCAAAGTAACCTGGTTTGGACAATATGGTGTGTGATCGCCTGACTTCTAAACAGTAGATAATTTGAAATTCTAAAAGTTATCCAGGGACTTTCCTGGTTCTAGTGGCTGGGACTCCACGTGTCCAATGCAGGGTGCCATGTCTGATCCCTGGTTGGGAAACTAGATCCCACATGCTGCAACTAAGACCTGGCGTAGCCAAATAAATAAATACGTAAAAGAGAAAAAAAAAAACCCGACACTATATATCTTTAAATGGTGTGACTTAGTCCATGTTTATACATTCTGTATTATATTTACACATGTAAATGCTGACAAAATAGGATTAATTTTCTCCATACTATTACCTGATTCCATCAATTCTAAGATGTACATTTTTCACATATATGCAAAATTAGTATATGTCTTATAATTGACATGGTAAGAAATTATCATCATCCTTTAATTGTTAGTGTTTTTTCTTCCTTCAGTTCAGTTCAGTTCAATCGCTCAGTCCTGTCCAACTCTTTGCGACCCCATGAATCGCAGCACGCTAGGCCTCCCTGTCCATCACCAACTCCCAGAGTTTACTCAAACCCATGTCCATCGAGTCAGTGATGCCATCCAACCATCTCATCCTCTGTCGTCTACTTCTCCTGCCCCCAATCCGTCCCAGCATCAGAGTCTTTTCCAATGAGTCAACTCTTCGCATGAGGTGGCCAAAGTGCTGGAGTTTCAGCTTCTGCATCAGTCCTTCCAATGAATACCCAGGACTGATCTCCTTTAGGATGGACTGGTTGGATCTCCTTGCAGTCCAAGGGACTCTCGAGAGTCTTCTCCAACACCACAGTTCAAAAGCATCAATTTTTCGGTGCTCAGTTTTCTTCATAGTCCAACTCTCACATCCATACATGACCACTGGAAAAACCATAGCCTTGACTAGACCTTTTTTTGGCAAAGCAATGTCTCTGCTTTTTAATATGCTGTCTAGGTTGGTCATAACTTTCCTTCCAAGGAGTAAGCGTCTTTTAATTTCATGGCTGCAATTACCATCTGCAGTGATTTTGGAGCTCAAAAAATTAAAGTCTGACACTGTTTCCACTATCTCCCCATCTATTTCCCATGAAGGGATGGGACCAGATGCCATGATCTTAGTTTTCTGAATGTTGAGCTTTAAGCCAACTTTTTCACTCTCCTCTTTCACTTTCATCAAGAGGCTGTTTAGTTCATCTTCACTTTCTGCCATAAGGGTGGTGTCATCTGCATATTTGAGGTTATTGATATTTCTCCAGGCAATCTTGATTACAGCTTGTGCTTCTTCCAGCCCAGCGTTTCTCATGATGTACTCTGCATGTGAGTTAAATAAGCAGGGTGACAATATACAGCCTTGATGTACTCCTTTTCCTATTGGGAACCAGTCTGTTGTTCCATGTCCAGTTCTAACTGTTTTCTTCCTTAATTATACACAAAACGGTAAGATTCACAATAGCAGCATTTCAGATATAATGTGTATTCTTTTAATTTGTCCCCTTATAGATTTTTCCTCCCTCCTTTTTTATCTTCATTTTGTTTACTGACATGCTTTAAAAATCCTTTTGTCATCATTTCCTTTTTTCTTCTATGTATTTACAAGTTGTGTTCTCTGGGATCATTCAGGTATTAAGTATCCTTTCGTGAGTGCATACTTAGTTTAAAAAGTCTGTGGTATATGGGGCTTCCCTGGTGGTCTGGTGGTTAAACTTCCACTGCAGGGAGTGCTGGTTCAATCCCTGGTTGGGGATCTAAAATCCCACATGCCCTGAGGCCAAAAACCAAAAATGAAAGAAGCTTAAAAGTCAACATCGCAAAAGCTCAGATCATGGCATCCGGTCCTTCGTGGCAAATAGAAGGGGGAAAAGTGTAAGTAGTGACAGATTTTATTTTCTTGGGCTCCAGAATCACTGCAGTGATTGCAGCCATGAAATTAAAAGACACTTGCTCCTTTAAAGAAAAGCTATGACAAATCTAGACAGCATGTTAAACAACAGAGACATCACTTTGCCAACAATGGTCTGTATAGTCAAAGCTATGGTTTTTCCAATAATCTTGTGCAGATATGAGAGTTGGACCATAAAGAAGGCTGAACACCAAAGAACTGATGCTTTAGAATTGCAGTGCTGGGGAAAAGTCTTGAGAGTCTCTTGGACAGCAAGGAGATCAAAACAGTCAAACATAAAGGAAATCAACCCTGAATATTCACTGGAAGAACTGATGCTGAAGTTGAAGCTCCAATACTTTGGCCATCTGATGTGAAGAGCTGACTCATTGAAAAAGACACTGATGCTTGGAAAGATTGAGGTCAAAAAGAGAAGGGGGAAGCAGAGGATAAGATGGTTAGACAGTATCACCAACTCAATGGACATAAATTTGAACAAGCTCTGGGAGATAATGAAGGATCCCTTGTCCAATAGAACTTGCAGTGATGATGGAAAGTCTGTGCTGTTCAGTCTGGTGGCCACCAGCCACACGTGGCTCATGGGCAACTGAGATATGGTTAGGGTGACTGAGGAGCTGAATTTTTTATTTAATGTAAATTTAACTTAAATTTAAAGAGCCATGTGTACCTACCGGCTACAGTATCAGACAACATGGATCTGAAGTATGCTTTCACTTTTAATTACATATTTCTGTGTTAAACTCTCACATTTCTCCTTTGCTTGAAAGAAAATTACCATAATTATAGTATGATAGTTTCTATAACACTGGGCTATTTTCTCTCAGGAAATTGAAGACAGTATACCAATCATGGCTTCAATTGATACCAATGTGAAGTCAATAGTCTAACCATCATTCTCTCATACATAATCTGATTTTTCTTTTTGGCTATTCTTAGACATCTCTTTTCCCTTAGTTTCTGCAGTTTCACCATCATATATTTTAATACAGATTTATTTTTATTTACCCTCCTTTGGGTTTATTTGGCTTACTGAATCTTTCAGGTATCTTTAATCTACCAGAGAAGTTCTCAGTACTGTCTCTTGAAACATTGCCTCTTCCCTGTTTTCTCTATCATTTCTTTTGAAAAATCTTATCAAACATATGGTTAATCCTCTATTTGTATCCTCCAATTTTTTTCAGCTCCTTGTAAGTTTTCCATATCTTTGTTTCTCTGTATTGCATTTTGTATAATTTCTTTGGATCTGTTTTCCAGTTCACTCTCTCTCTTTAGCTGCATCTAATCTGTTGTTAGACACTGAATTTTATGGTGACTTTTTTTTTCCTTTATAATTTGATCATTGCTTGCTTGGTTTGGAAGTGTATTTGGTTGGAATTCTTTGAGTCCTTCACTTGATTTTTCTGCCAAAATTTTGTGTTCACTTCTGTTACCTGGGGGATGCCACCAATATGGGACCATTATTATAAATAATCAGCTTGAAATTTTGCCCACACAGTTAGTGTCAGTTTAGATCACCAACTTCACTGATGTCTGGCTTGAGTTGATGAATTCTCAGAGGGGCTTTTATCCTTCCCTACTATCAGGGCTGACACAGGAATCTTTCCTGTGTGTCTGCCTACTTCTGCCTATGTTTCCAACCAGCTTTATGAATTGTCCTTGTCTGTTTCCCACTTTGGAAGGTTCTCAGCCTTATGTCTTCCTCCAAGCCCTGGGTGGTTGTCAGAGTGGCATCAGGTCTGTAGGACCCTGCATGGCACCCCACATCTGAAAGCTGGTTTGGACCTAGCTTGCCTCCTGGGTTCCTGATTTTCTTCTGTTTGGTGCCATGTGATTTCTTTGTTTTCATGAAAGGTCTATGATATATTGTATGTTTTCTTTTAATTCATCTATCCATCTATTTTCTTCAGAAGGGTTGTTCAGGGCATCTAATCTGCCAGATACATACAGGAAATAGAGGTCCTCACAGCTGTTCTTCGCTTTCGGTATCCCTTAGGTATGGCTCGTCTTAGCTGAGGCTCTCCAGAAAACAGAGACTGAGGCCAGGATGAAAGTGCTGGTACTTTAATTGGGAGGTGAAGACACAGGGCAGAGAGTGTAAGAAACTGGGAAGTGGGCAAGGAGAGATGTGGTCGGTGCAAAGGGAGGCATGGGCACTGGCTGCTGCTTCAAGAGGAGCTGGAATGACCCACCTTGGCAGCTGCATCCATTCAGCTCTAGGGCTCCCCCGAACAGGCTGCACAGAGAAAATGGCTCTGGGAGCACTCAGGGGCCGGGGAGAGGGAAGGTCTCTGCCTGGGCCCCTCCTAGTGCCCACTCTCCACTGATTGAGGCTCTCGCCCCCAGGGAATCGGCTGCCCTGGTTTGCATCTCTTGGCCTCTTTACGGCGCTCTGCGTACCAAGTCGTCAGGGCAGCAGAAGTGGCAGGAGGGTTGTACTGAGGTGGTTGACAGGGGGAGGAAAGAGTGCGAAGTGCAGAGACCTGTGCACTTCGGACCACACCTGCTGGACTGGGGTGTCATTGCCAGGCCAGGTTATGATTTCTGACAGAAGTAAAATCTCATGTTTTTAGAAGTAGTGCGAATTGATGATGTTTCCATCTTCCTGGCCCTGCAGCTCTCCTGTCATCCCGCCCTGGTGGGTGGGCCCTGGGGAAGGTCACTGGATGCTCTGGGGGTGGTTCACGGGACAGAGGTGGGATGACAGGCTCTGCTCTCAAGGAGAGGCTCTGGGCCGCCAGCCATCAGCCTGTGATCTGATGGGCAAGTTCAGTTTAGGTGAACTGGCAGGAAGCCAGCTTTTGTGGCATGTCCACGCCTGTCCCCTGGCCGCTGTCACTGCCCTCACAGAATCTCAGCCTCCCGCTGACACCCCAGTCCTTCCAGGGCAAAACTCCAAACTTCTGAGGGTCCCTTGGCCAAACCTCCACACATCTTTTGCCCACCTCCTCCCCAGTCCATAAACATGCGAACCCCTTGAAAGTCTTACACAGACATCTTTTGGCTGGGAGGTGATCACTGACCCCAGAAAACATTGCCCAGAGTTTAGCACAAAGGGGCCCCATGGCCAAACACACAGCCACCTGCTGCTGTGCTCCCAAGGCCCACACTTGGACAGCCACCCTACTGGGGCCAGGCTGCGCTCTTCCACTGTCCAGGGGGGATGCGGCAGCTTGACCTCCAGGTGTGGGGCACGAGAGAGCCAGAGGGACAAAGGTGATGAGGGGAGGAAAACCAGGCCCCCCTCAGACCCCACACCACCGTCCGCCTACTGACACCCACTAGGAACATCCTAGGGACGTCGAGTCAGGAAGGTGAGGGGGCTCCGGTCTGGCCAAGCAGGAATTCTCACAATGTTAACCAGCAGAGCAGAGCAGTTGCAGCCGCAGAGAAAATTCATGGTGGGTGATGGGGGCTGTGCTCCCAGCGGCAATTTGTTATTTAAGGATTTTGAGTCCTATTGGCGGCAGAGATAGGTGAACAGCGTCACAGCCCTGGCTACTTCTCTCTGACTAGGGAGTTAATGGCGAGACATGGTGGCAGTGTTTCTGCTTCCTGCTTCTCTCACGAGCCAGTAGTTCTTTGCCTCTCCCGAGTCCTCCTCTTTCAGCGTGGGTGGTGGGGGACTCTGGCAGCTGCTCAGGCGGGGGGTGGTCACCTGGGCCTATGGGTGAGCCTACAGCGTTGTGAGGGTCCCTGTTACAGGGAGTTCACGGCCTTCTGACCACATGTGACTTTTCAGTTATGCAGACGTGTACCCAACCCACGATCAGGGCTGAGAATAACCTTCCCTTGGATGTATGGCCTCTTCAGGGTCACCCCCACGGAGTGTTGTCGACTGAAAAAGGGCACAATGTCAAGAGTCATGAGTTATGTCTTATTTGGGGCAAAATGAGGACTGCAGCCCGGGAGACAGCAGAGAGCTCTGAGACACTGCTCCAAAGAGGCAGGTGGAGGTCATGTGATTTTGGTGAAGGGGGAGTACATGCAATTTAGCACACATTTGTCCAGAAGGTTTCTGCTAGCCATGGGCAACAGTTGTCACCATGAGGATTGTAGTGCCTTTCTAGATATGTGATAAGTGAGTGAAGTTGCTCGGTCGCATCTGACTCTTTGTGACCCCATGGACTGTAGCTCACCAGCTCCCCATCCATGGAATTTTCCAGGCAAGAATACTGGAACGGGTTGCCATGCCCTACTCCAGGGGATCTTCCCAACCCAGGGATCGAACCTGGGTCTCCCGTAATGCAAGCAGGCGCTTTACTGCCTGAGCCACCAGGGAAGCCCCTTTCTAGGTACGAGGAGATGCAAAAACTGGGCTCATAAAATCCAGTCCTGAAACCATCTAACTATCTGAAGACCTGTCCTGCCAGTTTTCCCTGAGCACAGATGCCTCATTCCTGCTCTCCACCCTGAACTCCTTCAGGGGGTGTTGAAGGTCAGCAGCTGCAGCGCACATGATCTAATCCTTGTAGAGGTAGATGGTAAGCACCCATGGCAGGTGCCAATTTGTAGTTGACACTGCCCTTCAAGTATTGGAGTGCATTGCCATTTCCTTCTCCAGAGGATCTTCCCAACCCAGGGATCGAACCTGCATCTCTTATGTCTCCTGCATTGGCGGGCAGGTTCTTTACCACTAGCACCACCTGAAGCCCCTTCTTATCACAAGAAACCAGAAATACTGAAGACAAGCCTGAAAATGAGCAAGTTATCTGCAACCCACCAAAACGGACACATTAATTTTTGCTCATGTTTTATGTTAATTAACTCATGGTTGTAAAAATGGAGTTTGTGCTATTCTGATATTATCCCTTTTCCACTTGACTTCACATCAAGGCTCATCTACACACCTGATTCTATTATACTTTTCAGTGCCCCCTTGTCCACTTAGGACACGTACATTGACCAACATGTGCCTTGTCATCGCACACTTTTATAACTAACACTACAATGGATGTCTTCATGGGGGTTTTATTTCAGGTGAGATATTTTCTTCAGCTACCCCCCACCCTCATCGCCCCCTAAGCAAGATTGCTGGGTCAAAGCACATACCCATCTCTGTGACTTTTGCTATAACTGATAACATAGTAGTAATTTACTAAGTACTATTTGTAGAGGGGTTGTGTTTAAGTTGGTTTGAAAGAGTCAGGACTGTTAGGTTCTCAAACACATCACAGATGTTCTAAAAGAAAGAAAGAAGTATGTACACAGATGAGCAGAAAAAAACACAGTCTACCATCTCCATTGTGTTTTTCACTAATTGAGCCTTTTTCTTTTTACTGTGGCTGACTTTTTTAAAAAAGCTTCCATTTCAGAAGATTCACTATCTGTACTGATAATGCTCATTGGCTGACATCTATTGAAGCCTTTTTATGTTCCTGGCAGCCTAGGGGGCCCTTCCCAAGCCCAGACAGGGGCTCTATTTTAATTCAGAGCTTTGGAAACTGGGACCTGGAGGACTAAGAGGCCAAAGTCAGGTGGTGAGAAGTAGGGCAGTCTAGGGCACTGCCCCTGCTTGGTGGCTGGGCTGAGACCCAGCTGTGTTCGAGCTGGAAGCCATTCCCCGACCAGCTGGACACAAAAGTTAGAAACCAGCCCTATTCACTAGACCGCAGGTACGGGGTCACCTTCCCATTTATGCATGTGAGCTCAAGGAAGGGCAGAACCTGCCCTAAAATGCAGAGCTCAGCTTCAGGTACCAGGCACCACGTTGCACCCCTACACAGCCTGCACCCCTGAACCCCTATACTATCTACACCCCTACACAGGCTGCACTCCTGCACGCCTGTTCCACTTGCACCCCTACACAGCCTGAACCCCGAAACCTTGTATATCTGAACCCCTATACCCTTGAACCCCTACACAGCCTCTACCCCGAACCTGTACCCCTGTACCCGTACACAGCCTGCACCTCTGGACCCCCGAACTACCTGCACCACCATATGATCTGCACCCCGGCAGCCCTGCACCCCTACACTGCCTGCACCCCTGGACCCCTGTACCACCAGCACCCCTACACATCCTGCACCCTGGACCCGTGTACAACCTGCCTGCCTTCACCCTTCACCCCTGCACCCCTGAACAGCCTGGCCCCCTGCAGTGCCTGCGCTCATGCACTGGCTTCCTGATCCTGCCCTGGTTGCACTTAACAGTGCTTCTGAGGAGACAGACGTGTGGGGGTAAAAGGAGGGAGCTTGCACGGGAATCATATTTCCCTCCGTATTTGGAACCCAAACCCTGACACAGCCCTGCTGCTTCCTTCGGGTAAAGGTTACAAAACTCCCTTTCCAGGTGAGGCCCTCACCTCTGGCTACTAGCCAGCTCCATCCCCCTGGAAACCAACAGGACACCAGGTTGGCTCAGATCCTGGGTGTGGTTGGCAGAAATTGGCCAGGTCATCTCTGTCCCCGAGCAAGATGCCCAGGAGCCTCTTACGTTTCACAGCACAAGGGGTGGTGCCGATGCACGTCAGCAATCACGGCTCGGACCTGAAAACAGGAGGCTGTCCTGGGTTACCCAGGCACGTGGGTGTGGCCATGGGAGTCTCCCGGGCAGAGGCAGGCGGGGGTGGTGATGGGGCAGGTGCAGAGAGCCCGGTGGCACCAGACCACGAGGCACTGGAGATGCAGGAGCCACGTGGAAATCACGAGAAGGGCTGAGCTCCCCAACAGCCGAGGGAGCCAGAAGTTGATCCAGGTAAGACCTCTTCGTTCAGGCTCCATGCTGGACTTCTGACCATCTGAGCTCTGTGGGTTGAAGCCCTGGGTGTGAGGATCCAAAGCAGTGGGGCTGTACCCTCACTGTGGGGCCCAGAGGGCCAGCCCATGCCAGCTCACGTCACAGCAGAGGCTCCCAGAGGCCTGGCCACATCTCCCACCCAGGACAGGACAGGCCTCTCGAGAGCAGCACAGAACTTGACTAAAGGGTTTGTCTCATCCTTTACTCAATCTAGTCTTTTAATTGAAAGTTTCATGTGTTTACATTTATTGGAATTGCTGATATATTTGGGTTTGTTTACACCTTTCTATGGGGACTTCCCTGGTGGCTCAGTAGTAAAGAATCTGCCTACAATGCAGGAGACCTGGGTTCGCCCCCTGGGTTGGGAAGATCCCCTGGAGTAGGGCATGGCAACCCACTCCAGTGTTCTGCCCTGGAGAATTCCACCGACAGCCTAAGAGGCTACGGTCCATGGGGTTGCAAAGATTCGTACACGACTGAGTGACTGAACTGAACTGAAGCTATGTTTTGTTCTGATCCTTGAAAGATAGTTTTGCTGGTAACACAAATCTTCATCCTGGGCCTGAGTCTACCTCTGCCCTGAGTCCTGTGAAGACGTTAGCAGCTGGTCTAACTGCTCTTCGTGGGTTATCGGTCCCCTGCCTCTAGGGACTCGGGGACCTTCTCTGTCTCAGTTTTTCTGCAGTTTTACTGTCATTCTCTGCATGTACATCTCTTGACTTAACCTTCTGGGATTCACTGAGCCTTCTGAATATGAGAGCCAGCATCTGGAAATCCTCCAGTGACATCTCCTTGGACATAGCCTGTGCTGCACCCTCACTTCCCTCTGTGGCCTTTGGGAGCTCCCCTTCCACGCTCATGGGCTCAGCCTTGCATCCAAAAGGGGTGGCCGAGCAGCTCACTGGGCATCTTCGGGAGCAGAAGTCCTCTGCTGGGAGCTCCCTCCTCGCCCTGCTCCCTGTGTGGCTGGGAGCCCCACTCAGAGTCACCGAGGGTCCACAGAACCCCTTCCCTGTCAGTCGCTGGTGCTCAGCACCACGCCCACTCCTGGAAGAGGCAGCCAATCCTTCCGCATCCACTCCTTCCTCCTCTTGGGCCGTATTTCTCCTAACCGCTTGTAGGACCAGCCTCGCCACCCCTTCATGTCCTGGCAGCAAAACATCACTCGTTCCTCAAACTGCCGCCTCGCCCATGTCTCCTCAAGATGCTGTCACTGCTCACTCGGCACTTGCTACCCATCCTCGCCGTCCCTGGGAAGCTGAGGCAGGGGGCAGTGCAAGGAGCTGAGCCCCAGACCGCAGCGTCAAGTTCACGAGCCAATAGGCGCCTGCTCTGCAGACTAGCTTTGCCATCAGGTCCTCCGAAGACAGGCCAGGGTGCGTGGGGGTGGGGGTGTGGTGGAAGGGGGGTGGTGGGGGGCCTGCAGGGGGGCTTGTGTCATGCTTATCCCAGGACACAGTCAACGGCACTGTGTCCCCCCCACACACCCGACTTGCCCACTGTGCACACAGCCCCGCCGTGAAGAGAGAGACCCCAGAAACACAGAGCCTCCCTGGTTTGTCCTGAAAAGGCCTTTTAATAGAATCAAGAGGTTTAATTTGTCACAGGCCATTTCTTGCAGCATCTAACCTCCATTAGCCAGCTAATGTCATCCAGGAGTGATGGACGGTCCTGGGACAAATGGCTCTGGCGCCCAGCAGAAAGGGCTCTGCATCCTGTTACCTCCCCTGGGCCTCAGGAACCGGGTTATTAAATCTGCAGACCAGCTTGGTTGACTTTTGGGGAGTGCTGGGCTCCAGCCAGCCCTCCCTCCCCGGGCACCCTGCGGGTCAGAGGGAAGGAAGGATGCTCCCTCAGCACCCGGCTCAGGTGGCCCTCATCATCCCCTTTGGTGCTGAGCTCCCCCACCCCACCACCCCCACCCCACACACCCTTCCCCTCACCCTGCCCTGCTGAGGATGGGGGTGCTGGAACCAGCTGGAGGGCACCAGGCTGCTGGGGAATCTGTCCGTGTGGCCGTGAGGGCAGCAGGGTGCTCCCAGGGGCTCCCCGCTGCCCAGTTTGGGGGAAGGTCACCAAGAAAGTTCCGGTCTTCAGGGCAGGAGACCCTGCGTTCAATGCCACAAGGCCTGCAGGGTGGCTGGACATCTCCCCGACCGTAAGAACATGGTTTATCTCCAGGTCAAATCTGAATTTTATTCCTGTTTTCAGGGAGGACAGCCACCCAGCTCCGGACGTGGATCCCAGTCATGCTGGTCAGCAGGGCAGCCCTAGGGCCAGAGCTGGATGGAGAAGAGGAGGGAGCCAGGTCCACTCTGGCCCCTAGGGCATGAATCCAGAAGTGCGTGGCCGGTCCCCCTGTGATGCCCACAGGGGCACCGTGTCAGCATCCGCAGCAGCGTGGACATCCCTGCCCGGAGCCCCAGGACTGACCAGGTCGTGGGGGCAGCCTGGACGCGGCAGCTCCTGAGCCCTGCTGGGGCTCACGGGTGAGCTGACCCCTCTCTCAGGCCCCAAAGTCCTTCCTCCCTGCAGTAGGGGCTCTGCTGTGTGACCCCTCAACAAGCCTGTGGGGGTTCAGGGTTGGATGGCCGGGAGCAAACCGCGATGGTGTTGGTGGCAAGTGCAGCCACGGGCACTGGGTGGTGGGGGTCCTGTCTCCCGGAAGGGGTCCCGAAGGCCGGCTGGGGCTCAGGGCAGGCAGCATAGGTGCCAGCAGACAGAGCCGGCCCAGAGGAGAACCAGGGCCCAGCGTGAGCCCAGTGGGACGGGAGGTCAGGACCAGGAGGAGCGTCTAAGTCAGTTCAGTTCTCTTGTCCCCCGCCTGCTTACGAGGAGGGTTTGGGCAGCTCGGGAGAAGGGACGACATGAGCAGAGGAGTGGACAGCAGAGGGAATCTGGGCAGAGTGAGGGGAGGAGAGGGCAGCGGGGCTTGGCAGAGGTGAGAGGCAGGAGTCGGGCCGAGGGTCTCAGGGTGGCGCGGGCCAGGCCAGCCGTCCCGAGAGCCGAGGAAAACTGGGGGGCGGGGGGTCTCAGGCTGCTGCTGTCCATTCCAGGTGGGCTCTGGCTGACTCGAAGCTGGGGGCCTGCAGGTAGGAGAGAGGAGAGTGTGGGTGAAGGCTTTGGGGTACGGATTCGGGGGAGCCCTGGGCTGGAGGGGGGACCCGTGACGATGTCCTGCATGGTCAGCCAGGGAGGAGGCCCCCAGTGAGCTCAGAGCCCCTGACTGGGGGTCTACCAGGCTTGCAGTCAGGGTCGAGGGCTCCGCTGTGAGGGTGCCGTGGAGCGGGCCAGGGTCAAGTGTGCACGAGGGATGCCCCCTGCCCTGGACACACGCAGAGCTCAGCCAGGGCAGACGGAACTCTCAGGGGCGGGGCGGGGCGTGGTGGGGAGGGGCCCAGAGGAGGGGCCAGTGGGGACCTGGCAAGCGCATGTCTGGGATGTGTTCTGGAAACCAGGGCACACTCTTGGCAGGCAGCCTGGTTCCTCGCCCAGCCTCCAGGAGTCGGGCCCTAGCTTCCACGTCCACTGGGCCATCTGGGCAGGAGCTGTGGGCTGGTGGGCAGTGGGGTGGCCCAGAGAGGACCCGACACGGGCTGTGTTCATGGGTCAGGATAAGAAGAGGCAGGTGAGCAGTTGGGGTCTCCACCGGCCTAATGGTGACCGTGGGCAAAGAGGTCTTACCCTACCTACCCCATGATGGAAGGACTCAGGGCCCAGCTGACCCTGGAGGGAGCTCCCACACGGCAGAGCCAGACAGTGATCACAAGCCTGCAGCCTTCCTATGGCCAGGCCCACAGGCCCAGCCCTGCAGGTCAGCAGGAGAGTGGGTAGGAGGCAGCCCCACGTCCTTCCTCCTGAGCCCTCTCGGATCTCAAGCCTGGGTGCGTGGCTGCAGCCGACTACTGGTGGTCTGAGGCTCTGCCTAGCCATAGCAGGGTGGCCGCGATGGGGCAGTGGGGAGTCAGAGAGGCTCACGGTGCCTGGTGCCCTGGGCAGACACGGGGCCAGGTGGGGTGAGGTGGCCGCGATGGGGCAGTGGGGAGTCAGAGAGGCTCACGGTGCCTGGTGCCCTGGGCAGACACGGGGCCAGGTGGGGTGAGGTGGCCGCGATGGGGCAGTGGGGAGTCAGAGAGGCTCACGGTGCCTGGTGCCCTGGGCAGACACGGGGGCAGGTGGGGTGAGGAGGCTCTGGAGAACCAGCCCCCAGCAGGCCCCCAGAGATACTGTCATCTGAGGATCCAGGGACTCCTAATTCCTACACTGGTCTGGCAGCCTGGGGCAAGAGCTCAGAGGTGCCTGAGGTGGGGTGCAGGGGTATCTCCAGGCGAGGGCTCCGGGGTGGCTGGGGTGAGGGGCTGAGGTGTGTCCAGGCAAGGGCTCAGGGGTGCCTGGGGGAAGCTCAGGTGTGTGTGGCCTGCTGTACCTTTCCTGTGCCTCTGTGGACACCAGCAGGTGAGGGGTGTCTGCTGGTAGAACCTGCCCTAAAGCCGTGCGAGAAGTCCTGTCACCAGCCCCAACCAGGAGGCATCTGGTTTCCACTGGCTTCATACGTCCCATTCCCTCAGCTTGGCCTCCTTGTTGATGGCCTCAGGAGGCACATATGCTGTTTGGAGGGCAGAGTTTGGTGGGGTTTCTGTTCTCTTGACTGATGCTTGGCTTCAGGAAGAGAATCCTATCTTCCCATCTAGAGGGGACCCAGGCCCAGACACCCCCCCCCGCCCCGAGACATCCTCTGGGCCTGCATGCGTGCTCTTGCAGCAGAAGTCTCTTCCCTCTGGGAGGAGCCCAGGCCGCCCTGGTTCTTTCACCCAAGTCGGTCGCCCAGGGTGGGATGCCTGGATGGGAGTTCCTTGTCTCCACAGAGGGGGCTCCTGCTCTCCCCAAATCCACACCTAGACATCATTGGCCTTGACCCCGGGGTCCACGGCCAGAATCAGGTACATGAGCCAAGACAGAAGGATTTCTGGAAGTCAATCTTCATTGTAAGTGATGCCTTTGAATTTTCCACTCTCACCTCCCTCTCTTGGTTGGAAAGGACCACGATTGTCTGGGTTTCTCTGAATGCTGGTGACAGTGTCCTGAGAGTTAATTGGCTGTGTCATCGCCTCCCTGAACAAGGGCCGACTTAATCACAGAGATAACCAGCAGGCAGGAGGGACATGAATATTTACCTCAGGCCGGCCTCTCCACTTGGTTGAGGTTGAACTGTGCCTGCCTTTGAGGACGGGGCGGGGTGGCGGGGGTCACTGGGGCAGGTATGGAGGATGGGAGGCAATCAGAGCATTGGCTTGGCTCCTGCCTGCACGCCTGACTCCTGACCTTCTACACAGACAAGGAGACGCAGCCCTGATAGTTCAAATGTCTGCGTTCCAGGTCAACGCTGAGTGATCAGTGCGTCAGCAGGCATCAGCTGGAGCAGATCTGGGGGTCCGGACGAGAGATGGAAGGAGCTTGGTGAGGCCCCTCCTCACCAGGTGCAAAAACAATGACATGTTTGGCATCTGGTCCCATCACTTCATGGCAAACAGATGTGGAAACAATGCAAAGAGTGACAGATTTTATTTTCCTGGGCTCCAAAATCACTGTGGACGGTGACTGCAGCCATGAAATTAAAATGCCTGCTCCTTGAAGAAAAGCTATGATAAAGCTAGACCGCATGTTAAAAACCAGAGATGTTACTTTGCCAACAAAGGTCTGTATAGTCAAAGTTATTGTTTTTCCAGTAGTCATGTATGGATGTAATTTGGACCATGAAAGGCTGAGTGCCAAAGAATTGATGCTTTTGCACTGTGGTGTTGGAGGTTTTTCAGAGTCCCTTGGACAGCAAGGTGATCAAACCAGTAAGTCCTAAAGGAAATCAACCCTGAATATTCACTGGAAGGACTGATGCTGAAGCTGAAACTCCAATACTTTGGCCACTTGTTATGAAAAGTCGACTCATTGAAAAGACCCTGATGCTGGGAAGAATTGAGGGCAGAAGAGGGTTACACAAGTTGAGATGGTTGGTGGCATCAACTCAATGGACATGAGTTTGAGTAAACTCCAGGAGATAGTGAAACAGGAAAGCCTGGGGTGCTACAGCCCACGGGGTCACAGTCAGACACAACTCAGCGACTGAATAAAAACCCCCAGGAGAGAGGGCACCAGTTAAAGAGGGCATGGGTCATCTGCCACCTGCTCCTCCCACCCTCTGACCAGACACCTCTGGGATGTGTGTCCCGGGGGACCTAGCCTGGCCTGGCCTGTGAAGGGGGGTCCTCCTGTCTCCGCACAGCAGCCCAAGCTGTCTCCACTGTGTGAGGCCTTGCTGATGGCCTCAGGGCTCCGTGACCTCAGGGCTCCCACCACTTGGCACCTAGATGACAGCAGTTCTCAAGATGTCTGCAACCATGGACTCTCTACCAACACATCTGCGGCCACAAGCAAAGGACAGAGGGGCTGGCGGTGTGGGCACTGCCTCGATCACGCTCACACCCACAAACACACTGATGACAGAGCAGCTTGCCTTCCTCAAAGAATAAGGTGACGACCAAGTCCAAATGCGTGGTCCAGCTCTTGGCCAAGAGTACTCGGGCGGAAGAAGCACCGCTTTTAGAAAATGTGTTTTATTAACATTTGATATACAAATGGAGAAAGAATAAATATCTTGTGACTTCACCCTGCACGGCCGAGAGTGACACCTATAACCCTGAAGGAGACACAGGAAGGTCAGGGCTCTGGGTACCCCACCCCCAAACTCTGCATGGCCCCCCACACCCACACCAGCAGGCACCCCATGTGTTGGGGAAGTTGGGCGCCTGGTCTGGGGCTGGAGTGGCCCTGCTCCTCTAGCCTGCTCCCTCTGCCCTCAAGGCAGGGGGGCGGGGGCACAGAGGCTCCAAGGACGAGCATCGGCTGCCCGGCGTGTTGCTGCGGCCGCTGGACCACACTGGCTGGACAGACCCTGCAGACAACCACCGAAGGGCTTCCCCCCGCCCCCCAACAGGAGCCAGAGCACCGGGCCGTCCTGAGCACCGTTCTGGTGCTCTGATCCAGGCCGAGGGGAGGGGTGGGGATCACAGCCCCACAAGCCTCAGCCCAGCCCTGCTGAGGTGGGGTCCGCCTGCCGTCCAGCTGGCACGGGGTTCTGTGGGGAGGGCGGCAGGGCCAAGGGCACTGCTCTGGGGCACAGGCAGGGTCAGCATCGCATCCACTGGCCCAGGGCTGGAGCAGCCCAGGTACCAGGCCTGCCAACGCTGCTGGAAACCCCACAGGCCAAGGTCAGTAAGGACAAGCCGGAACCTCCGCGGCATCACCGGGGCCCTCGCTGGCTGCAGACGCCTGCTTCCGGATGGATCCCAAGTGAAAGCAACCCAAGTCCTGGGGACGCAGAGGCACCGGCTCACAGAGAGACACCCGGGCCGAGGACACACACAGTGCTGCTCCGCAGGGTCCCAGCCTGAGATCCGGGAGGGGACACGTGTCCTCGGGCAGCCGTGGGGGCTCAGTACGCAATCCTCCAGTGAGTGGGCTGCTCACACGCCTTCTCCTCATCCCCGCAGAACCGGTTGTATGTTGTCTTGGGGTCCAAGCCCAGGATCTCCCTCTCCTCGTGAATTCGAAAGGAGAACGTGGAGACCGATGTGCCGATAAAAAACCTGCCGAGGAACAGGTTGTCACCAGGGCTGCAGCGCAATCCCCCCATCCACCACCCACCCAGACACCTGCCCGGGCCCTCACCCCAGTCCCCTCAGCTGGGGTTCCCTGCAGCCGGTCACCAGCAAGCGATCTGGGCTCAGGACTCGGAGGGGGGGGGTGGCAAGCAGACCGGCCTGTCTGCACATGAGGACCCAGCCAGGAACACGGGCCATACGTGAGCAGGGCACTCACCGGGCGTGCGCGCAGATCCACTGGTCCACGATGGCCACGCCCCCGTCCTTGTAGAGCTCCAGCTCCTCCCACGTGGGTTCGAACCGCACCATCTCAGGCAGCAGCCTCCGCAACTCCTCCAGCTCTGTGGGTGCGAGGGGGCCGGTGAGAGGGGGCCACGGGGGTGTCGCACAGCCTAGAGGGGTGTCGCACAGGCATGCACATACCCACAACTCTGCAGGGTGCAGGGGACTCACGCATGCAGATGTGCCGACTCTCAGACTGCAGGGGACTAGCACACGCATATACACATGCCCAAGACTCACACAGGCCAAGAGGGACTCGCACACACACGCACGTGTGCCCACAGCAGGACCACAGGGTGGGGGACGAGCACAGAAACACAACCCCACTATTAACCCAAGGAGGAACAGATGGACAGGAGCCGAATACCCTTCCTGACGGCGTCTGTGGCCACGAACACCTTGTCCAGCTGGTGGGCCCTCATGAGGCTACGGATCTTCCGCACAGCCCCGTCCAGGCTGGGCACGTCCTCCCGGTGCCCCCAGATGAAGTCTTTCCTCCTCAGGTGGACGCCCAGGTACGGGCCCCCCAGCGAGGAGCCCAGCTTGACCTGGCCAAAGGGGACCAAACTGGCTGAGCTGGTGACAAGCAGGCGGGATTCAGGCCTGACGGGGTCTGTCCCTGGACTGATCACCAATGTCCTCAGGTTTACACTAGGACGGGGCTCCCTGCAGACAAGCAGCAGCTCGGATAACTGAGGTGCAGGGCCAGGAGCCCTTGATGGGCAGGCATGCCCCCTTCAGACCCTTCCTAACGTTTAAGGGCTTAGTTGTGAGGCATCTCAAGAGAGAAGTGCACCCCACCCCCAAAGATTACGGGGGCAAGGGGGGTACCTTCATCCGGGTCCAGTCCTCCTCGAAGGGGATTCCATCGGCCACGTCCGTGGAGTTGAGGTACCTGCTCCTGAACTCATCCCCCACCGCCCGCAGGTGCCTGGCGAACACCATGCTGCGCCTGGTCTGCAGGAAGACAGGCCGTGAGCCCGGCACCAACCCTCCTTGCCCGCCACTCCCTCTTGTCCCCAGAACCCCCTCATCCATCCGGAGTCCAACCCGAGGACAACGAGCGAGCTAGGGCCTCAGGCAGGTTGGCCACTGGCCCACGGGCCGTGCAGCGGATTCAAGGTGGAGCCCACCATTCGGACGGTCAGGAGCGTCCAGGGGGCGTGACCACATCGGTCTGGTACGCTCCGACGGGCTGTGCAGTCCAGCGCTGCAGCTCTCTCTCTTCCCAAGTGTCCCTGTGGCCTAGGGCCCAGCTCTGGCTAAGTGAATGTGACTGGCAGGGTCAGGAAAGTGCTGAAGGGTCACCACCCTGCAGGGCTGAGAGGCATAGAACCCGTGTCCACATGATGACAATGGCCCTTCTGTGATTCTGAACCCACCCATCAGGAGGTGCCCGAGTCCAAGGAGCAGGGCTCTCACTTGGGGGCCTCTGCCCTGCCCAATCCCCACTTCTATTTCACATCAACAACAGAAAAATGTCCCTGCTAAGAGTCAGTTTTGGTACCCGTGGGAAGGTGGGAGCTGTCCCCGCAGCCCGCCCACCCACCCCGATGTTTCTGGCTGAGCCCCGGACAGGCCAGGCGTGCCGACGTCACCTGGGTCTCCACCTTGTAGCCAAGGGCTCTTCTCAGGGAACGTCTGATGCTTTTGCACTGGGCCTCCATGGGCAGGACTGCACCTCTTTTCCAAACCAGACACCTGATGACTAGGCCTCTCCACCCCAGAAGGACGGGAGAAGGCCTTGGCCCACCTCCAGCACCATCTGTCCACCACAGCCAGCACCTCCCCATCAAAGCAGAGGCCAACTCCCCTGTCCAGGACTCGAGCAGACAGCACCCACCTCCCATGGCTGAGCACATGGGGCCAGAGCTCTCGTCCAGGCTCCCAGCGCCAGCAGCAGGGACAGCCAGCGCAGGAGGAGGGCCTGGGACACCCCAGCCCTCTCCCAGGAGCACCTCCGTGGGCAGGTGGGGAGCACTCGCCGGCGGGCCCACCCCCAGATACTCGGCCTCACTGTGTTAGGCAGCAGGTGGACACAGGAGCTGCTGTGTGTGTGCATGTGTGTGTGTGTTAGGAAGTTGGGGGGGAGGGATATGTTTCCCAAACTACACACGTTCACACAGATGCTCAAGGCAACACTCACGTCCCAGTACTCCTTCCCACCGTAGTGGTCGTGGAGGAGGTTCTCGGCTCGGTCCAACATCACAGACCTATTTTTAAACAACAGAAAAAGGTCTTTATGCCCATGTGTTCCACTGAGCACCGTCATGTGGGAGGGCCCTGGGCCAGGGAACAGCCCAGGACAAAACCTGAGCAGGTCCAGACCCTGTAGGGTCAGCTGGGTGCATGAGGGCAAGTCTCTGCTGACCCTCTCAAAGGCAGCCGTCTGCAGATGGCTTCTGCTTCCTCAGTGGTTCTAAACATTCACAGACTCTCTCCTGCCCTTGCCACTGAACTACCTCAGCAGCCAAGCTCACTTGTGACCATCAATGCAAAAAAACCACACAAATACACAAAATAAATAAAACTAGCCAACAGAATCCAGCAACACACTAAAAGAAAAACACAAATGACAAATAGAGTTCATACCAGGGATGCAAAGCTGGTTCAATGTGAAAACAGCTGTGGCTTAACTCACACTTCTGGGGAAAGGGCAAAGCCAAACAACCACACCTACCCCAAAGGAGTGCGTGCGTGCTTACCCCTGCTTCTAAGGATCACCTTAACGAAAAGACAATCCTTGTCATGTGTGTCTTTCTCCGGCCAAAAGCCAGGCCCCTTCTTTGGGGAAGCGTCAACTTGATCCTTCAAAGTGTGGGGCAGAAGAGGCTGCCCACCTGAGCTCATCAAGCAACTTGAAGAATCATAACACGCAGAGAGGACCCTCCAGAACAGGCCATATCCACTCCAGGCTGACCCCCTGGGCAGGACAACCCTGGAGAGGGCGGCTCCCAGATGCCTGGGTGGCGGACATGGGTGGGGTGATCAGAGGCTCCATTTTTAAGCCAAAACAGATCCTCAGAGGCTCAGAGTTAATTGTGGAGACTGAAACTATAAAAAGTATAACAAGAAAGAATTTTTAAGAATACTGAAATGGTAAAGATTATTAAAACACCTACTTCTGGTTTACTGAATGCTAAAGCCTTTTACTCTGTGGATCACAACAAACTGGAGAATTCTTCAAGAGATGGGAATACCAGACCACCTTATCTGCCTCCTGAGAAATCTGCATACAGGTCAAGAAGCAACAGTTAGAACTGGACATGGAACAACAGACTGGTTCCAAATCGGGAAAGGAGTACATCAAGGCTGTATACTGTCACCTACTTATTTAACTTATATGCAGAGTACATCATGTGAAATGCCAGGCTGGATGAAGCACAAGCCGGAATTAAGATTGCCGGGAGAAATATCAATAACCTCAGATATGCAGATGACACCACCCTTATGGCAGAAAGCCAAGAAGAACTAAAGAGCCTCTTGATGAAAGTGAAAGAGGAGAGTGAAAAAGTTGGCTTGAAACTCAACATTCGGAAAACTAAGATCATGGTATCCGGCCCCATCACTTTATGGCAAATAGATGGGGAAACAACAGAAACAGAGAGAGACTATTTTGGGGGGCTCCAAAATCACTGCAGATGGTGACTGCAGCCATGAAATTAAAAGATGCTTGCTCCTGGGAAGAAAAGCTATGACCAACCTAGACAGCATGTTAAAAAGCAGAGACATCACTTTGCCGACAAAGGTCCATCTGGTCAAAGCTATGGTTTTTCCAGTAGTCATGTATGGATGTAAGAGTTGGACTATGAAGAAAGCTGAGCATCAAAGAACTGATGTACAGTGTTGGAAGTATAATGCTGGAGAAGATTCTTGAAAGTCCCTTGGACTGCAAAGAGAGCCAACCAGTCCACCCTAAAGGAGATCAGTCCTGGTGTTCATTGGAAGGATTGATGCTGACACTGAAACTCCAATACTTTGGCCACCTGATGCAAAGAACTGACTCATTGGAAAAGACTCTGATGCTGGGAAAGATTGAAGGCGGGAGCAGAAGGGGACAACAGAGGATGAGATGGTTGGATGGCATTACCAACTC